ACAGCCTCCTAAAAAAGCACAGCTCAGACATCAAACAATGTGTTAGCAATTGCTTAGCTACCTTTGTACTCAGAATTTCCCACACAAAGGCAGACTTTGAAGCCAGGCTTAACCTTAAGTTTGGCTCTTAAGACAGTTTTGATCATCTTTTCAAATATCTATCCACAGGTTCAAGCATCTAAATCTTATATTGATACATTCAATGCACTGAAATAAATTAAATATCCTTAAAACTATGAGAAACAAAGTGATCCTAACAAATACTCAGATTTCAAGAGTTCCTTTGGCAGAAAAGCCATGGCAAAGCTTAAAAACTGCATTTCCTCAAGAACCAGAGAACACGATAGAGTAAAGTATACAATCCAGGATTTCATTAGATGTCTATTAAATAGGTGTTGATGGGGATAGGAACAGATAAAATCAAACACTCAGAGTAGCTCAACAGTAGCTAAACAGCCGTGTAGTTTTCCCCTTGTCATCTCATCAGTAGAAATTTATCACAAAATAAACAACAAAGCTAAGCCAATACAGGTCCCGGCTTCCAGCTCCAGATCAGCAGTGTGAATTACATCATAGCTCAGGGGTGTGGGAAAATGAGCTGAAGTTTAGATTTAATGCATATGTTTCAAGATGTGCTGCATCGATAGCAGGCAGCCAGGATTAAACTAAGTCCATAAATACCTAAATCATTTATGAGACTGCAAAGGACTAAACAAAACACGAATTAAAGCCACTTATGTGCAAATGTACGCCCCATTTTAGAGATTTTCAGCCATCCACGAGATGAGAAACAAGATACTCATTGAGATAACTCCTCTGAGCCCTGTGGGGTGGAAAGGATGTCAGCCCACAAGCACCTCTTCAGAAGAGGGGCACCCTCACTAAGGGGCCTGGGAAGAGCCTGTTTCAGGAGGGTCTCTGCCACAAACACAGCAATGACACCCTGCCCTGTTACCCAGTCTCCAAGGAGCTCTCCTGGCTCCACTCCCGATGGGTAAAAGTGGAACATCTTGGTTACATCTCAACCAAGACAGACCACAGCCTGCTCACAGCTCTAACAAGGACAGGAAATAGCAGGATACGTATATACATTACACATCTGCTTTGTTTTCAAAAGCAGGTTGGAATTCAGAATAACCTTGTTCTGAGGCACAGAGAGGTACTGCTGCTTATTTTATTTTTAATTTGGATAGTTGGCTGATTAAATGGGAGGAGATGGCAAACACACACTCTCCTCCTTTAGCAGTCAGGCAAGCATCATCCAAGGCTAAAAGTTTAACATGGATCAGTTCCATGCAGTTATCTGTGATAGTCATTCCCAGACTTTATGGATGGTGATTATTATCATATGAATACCAACTATGCTTAAGTATCCTTAAATAAACTTTTCCAGACAGAGCATTGCACTCAATGGCGAAGCAATTACCAGAAAACACGTTAATTTCAGTAAGAGGATACCATAAAAAGTATTTTGTGGTTTTATGCACTTTCTTGGCTTGAGCAGTATTTGCAAAGAATTTATTTTATGGCCTGGCTCTTGGATTTGCAGCTATTGATATAAATCTATGCTGCATCACTTCCATCTTTTAGTCAGAAACTCTCAGCTCTGTTTTCAATGAGAAAAAACCAACAGGTTCAAAACATAACCATGGATGTCAGGGCACCTTGCTGTCACAAAAAGCAAACATAATATTCCACTTGCATAAATTTTAATCAGAAGAAAAAAAAAAAGCCAACAGAAAATTATTTGAAACACACAGATATACATGTCAGATTTCTATCCTCTGTAACAATGTAAATACTGTAAAAACCTGCCGGGCAGCTCTGGCTTGAAGAGGCAGTGCCTCCTTAAGAAAGTGTAAAAACTCTTTCGGGTAGAAATAACTGCATTTAAAATGAGAACACAACACAGGGCACTTCAGCATTATTTTACCAAGGCTGTAAAGAGCTCTCCCAGGCTCATTTCTGTTAATTGCATCTTTGCAAAGTGCAGCCAAGCGGACGCAGCAGAATGATTACTTTTACTGTGCTACCCAAATGGCTCTGAATGGGTGCAGCTTTCCCCCTTTCCTTATTCCTGCTCCTTGTCCTTTAGCTCCACACGGGGCTCTACAGAAACGAATTCTGCACTTGGATTATGCACATGAAGGAAGACTCAGAGCAAGATGACAAGTTCTGCCACAGAGCAGCAGTTAAAAAACTATTGGAACACAAACTGTTTTGGTGCTTGTCAGGCAGCTTTTGGACTGAACCTGATAAGAAGAATGGAGAAGCTGCATTCAAATGCAAGGATAATCCCAGAGTAAAAAGTCACAATCTTTCTCATCAGTGGATGATTAACAGAGGAATTTGGCTCCTAATGAAGTCAGCCAGCCCCCAGACTCCACTGGTAAATCCCTTCTTGTCATCTTTCACATTCAGCCCTGACTCATCTGCAACAACCAGCCCAATCCCCGGCCTATTCCTTTATTCCCTCCATTCTTTCTGCAGAAGTTGAAGCACACACTTTGCAAACGCAGCGAAGGGGATGGTGGGCTACAGGCACACAATGCACTGGGACTGCAGCAGGAACAGACACACCCGAGTTAGCTTTGGGGAGCTGAAATACCTGTGTCAGTGAACACATGCAGGCACTCACCGCAGTGCCCTTGTAACACGTTTACACTGCACAGGCCACGCTGGGGCTGAGCAGCTGTCCTGGGTGGGTTTGGCACAGCCACACTGCCACAGCCCCACCTCCAGGCACAGCTGGGAGCTGAGGAAGGGGCTCCCCTCTGCGGGAGCAGCAGCCAGAGCTGAGCTCCAGCTGTGGATGGGCAGAGGGCAGATTTGATTTGTGCCTCTGCACAGAGGAGGTGACAGCGCAGCCTTCAAATGGGAACAAGGATGGATGGTTAATTTAAACTATTGGGCCCTGAAGTACTCACCAGAATCACAGGTTAAGGACCTTAAACACCACCCAGTCCCACCCCATGGCACGGGCAGGGACACCTTCCACAAGAGCACCTTGCTCAAAGTCCGGCTCAACCTGGCCTTGAACACTTCCACGGATGGGACTTAATCTGAATGGACTTTAATTGTAATGACTGTGGCTTTTAGACATCAAAATAAACCCAGAGGCCTGAAAGCTCCTATGCTTTTCCCAGGAAATCAGTTACTTTAATAATAGATGACAGCTTTCCAAGATTTTTTGTTATTTCCTAGATCTATACAGCATCAATTAGCCAAGTTCTCTTTGAGAGATTCTTCTAAAGATTTCTTTTTAAGAAATGTACCTAGAAAATTTGAGTTTTTTAGTTTAGAAATAGTTTCTAAATAATTCCTTCTGTACAGAATATCTTTTCATCTATGTGTGCGATCAATAAGTAAAAATTATTATGCTATTTCAGTGTTCCAATAAAAATATAAGACTCTACTGTATGATTATGTCTAATGAAAAGGTGGGTTATAATTCATGAAGCACAAAATGGCAAAAAAATTAACAGTGAGCTCTTTTCTGGCGATAACAATATAAGCATCTTCCAGATTAATTAAGTCACACAGTCTGCCTGAGTAGAATCACCTTATAACTCTCTCACTACCCACACAGACATCACATCTGTGTAACTGAATATATTTTTCTGTATGTTTGCATCAGCCACTGAGTGGCAGCAATTCCTTCATACCTAAATCTGAATTATGAGATGTAGGATGAAAATCTCAAAGGATTCCCAAATCTTAATTCTTCTGCACTGTCCTTAAGTTCTTTTGTGTTTAGCAGTACACACAAATAACAACAACTAGTGCAATATCTTATTGCACCTTTCAATTTTTTAGCTGTCGAAGTTCCAAAAGTATTGCACTTCATTCTGAAAATCATACATGCTTAGAACTTGGATGGATTCAATTTTACAAAACATAGTAAAACCATGTGGGTCAAAGAAACTGAAATGCCAGCATTTAATAATTTCTTAAATTAAAGCACACACCTGCATTGTATTATGAAAATATTTTGATTATTATGAAATATTTTATTTCATTGTTATGAAATATTTTATTGTTAAATTAAGGTGAGGATGAGAAACATTTAAAAAAAGAAACCTAAACCCATGTTTTGCAGACTTATGTTTGCTTTTCTCCTCAGTATTTGCAGGTTTTCAGAGCAGTGACTTAGGGTGACTGAAATCTACCAGTCCAAATACAAACAGCTCATTTTTAACACAGCCATTTTCTAAAATGGAACTAAAATAAACAGGAAATCCTGCATATGCATTTAAAAATGCTTATGAATTATTGCTTAACCACTTAAGAAACACTTCTTCATAGAGTTCCTGCTCTGAAATCTATGCTGGTTATAGCTTCCTATTTGATTGGCACAGTGCTGCAAGGCATTATTTGACAGATGGAAAGCTGAAGAGTTAATTTACTGTTACACTGTTAAAAGACTATTGACTGTACAAGTCTGGAGCAAAAAAGATTTAAAAGGAACTAAATACACTGTAAAGGTATCAAGGATTTTGATGCTGATTATTTGCAGAGATACTAAACATTGTAGTTTAGGCTTTAAATGAGTCTCTAAGCCTAGGTAAAGATCGAGTACTACAACTGATTCTCCTACACCCATCTGCTCTCTCAGATCTCGCCTTGGTCATATCAAGGGCTGGGATACAGGGCAATGCCATCCTTGCACATAAACCTCCTAGGTGCAGATCTACACTCTGCTCTGTGCTACTTGGACAACCTGGAAGTGAAGTGGCGCAACAGTCAGGGCCCGCAAGTAAACTGATGTCAGATGTAACCACAGAACGCTGTAATCCAATTATTTTAATATTTCACGCCCTAATGCAAACGGGGAATTCTCTAGCGACGAACTGAAAATTGTTTTTTAATAGATTCACGCCTGGCATGTACGTACACAAAAGCACCAGGCATTCCTGCTCCTTCATTTCTCACTGTCTGTCGCCATTCAGCTGGAAACCTGACTATTGGAAAGCCTGTGCATTTCATCTGCCCAAACTCACCGCGGCACGGAGACTGAAACAGACACTCGGTGCGGCTGGGTGGGAAAAAAAGTTGGTGGCATCGAAGTTGGCATTTCTGCCGGGAGGGAACTCCGTGTTTCTGTCAGGGACCGAGCCGGGGCTGATCCCGCCGCCTCCCGCACGG